ATTGTTAAGAATTAAAAGATTCGGAAGTCCGTGGTGCCAGGTTAAAATTTTTGTGCATGCGGAAAAGTCTGACAAGATAGTGTGATCATGTTTTTAACAGGGGAACGAGCAAAAAGCGGCGACAATGTTACTAGGGAATTGGTTTTGTTAAAAGTAAATTGTCTGAGACTAACATTATGGTCAGCGAACTCCTCTTCCGGACCTTGTGGTTCTACTACCATCGCTGGTTGTGAACGATGGTGGTTTCCGGTTGGTTCACTGTGGATTCAGACTTGATATCCGTGGAGTATGTTCTACCAAACTCTGGCTTTATTTCGTGAATGCTGGCCGTTTCTCGTCCGCCGAAGAGCCTGACCGCGATAGCATTACCCAACCTACTAATTGCTTTGAAAAGTCTTTCATACGGGGTTTGTAGGGGGTTTTCGTATCCCGTCGTGCCGGATGAAAACGTGAGTGCAGTTTGAGATGTACTGAGGCGCGTACACTTGGTTGTCTTGGCATCGTGGAGGCTGAAGTAGTAGTGTGCTCACTTGTAGCCGTAGGTGTTGTGCACAGTTAGCCAAGCTCGGTGGAACGTCTGTTGCTGGGTGACAATACTGCCCCAACAGTCGTAAAGTAGTTCCACAGACTAACTCATCAGTACGGCAGTCAATGCCCAGCTTGATATTCGGACGTATACCAAGCAGCACTAGTGGTAATTTGTCGCTCCACTTGTCATCAGTCTTTACTGCCATCAGTGCTACTTTTAGTCGTCGATGGAACCTTTCAACGCTACCATCAAGTGCAGAGTGGTACATAGTGGGTCTATTGCGCTTGATCCTGAGAAGTTCGGTCAATTGTTGAACCAGACTACCCTCGAACTGCTCGCCTCTGTCTGTGGTGATGACACTTAGGACACCAAAGTTAGAAATCCAGTGTTCGACTATATTTCTCGCCATTGTTTCGGCAAATACATACTGCAGAGGCGTTGCCACTGGCCATCTCATGAACCTGTCTGCACATGTTAAAGTGTAGCTGAAATTACTCGACGGGGGTAGTGGTCCAGTGATGTCAACGCGTGTGTGTTCAAATCTACCATCCGGTGCGGGAAGTACTTCGGCAGGAAGAAGAATATGTCCCTGCACTTTTGATCGCTGGCAGGCTAAGCAAGCTGTAGACCATTGTCGAAGATCTCGATTCATCTTTGGCCAGACGTATCAGTCATCAACTAACTCTACCGTAGCTCGAATATAAGGATTTGAAATGCCGTGCACCTGAGAGAAAACTGATCGACTCATTGACAAAGGCATGGACGGACGTGGTTTACTCCTGGATACATCACACGTGACGGGTAGAGAGTCATCAAGCACCACTTCCTAAAGAAGTAATGAGGTGTTCAGATTACTTTTCAAGTGATTTAAGTCCTCATCCGTCACCTGCAACCTTGACATTTCTGCTAGGTCGATATGGTCACGTTCGAAGACGTTTACGTCATACGAGACAAAGCATCAGCTGCCTCATTTTTGTTGCCATTAACATATCTTAAGTCTGAGGTGAACTGTGAAATAAATTCTAAATGTCGAATTTCCCACCGCGAGTAGTTGTCATGCTATGCGTCAATCGCTTTTGTGAGTGGCTTATGGTCGGCAAATACTATAAATGTGTGCCCTTCCAGCATGTATCTGAAATGCTCGATGGCAGAGTAACTCGCCAGTATCCCTCTGCCGGATGTACCGTGTCGCGGTTGAGAAGCATTAAGCCTTTTCTGGAAGAGAGTAGTACTGCGACTACCGCAACATTTGAAGCGTCTGTCATGACTGCTAGTGGTGCTTCCGAATCACAACGAGAGAAAAGCGCTTCGGAACTAAGGGCTAGCTTCCGTTTGCCAGAAGCATTATGGGCCGCCTGGGTCACGTGGAACACCTTGGCTCGTCTTTGTAATAAATCCGTCAGCGATCGGGCTACTTCAGCACATTTCGGTATGAAACGTCGGCAGAAGTTTATTAACCCCGGAAATCTTCGCAGCTTTCGAACGAGTCCGGAACAGAATATTCTCAAATTGCATCTACTTCTTGCGGAACCCCTTTTAACACCGCTGGCGCCAATAATTTGACTCAAAAACTGTAGGTGTTCTTTGCCAGGTTCTCACTTCTGCGGATTGTAATGCCATATTCACGCAGTCGCTCGAAAAGCGTCCTCAGATGTTACAGGTGTTCTGTTTCAGATGAGCCAGCTACTATTAACTCATCTGTGTATGTACTGACGAAAGGAAAGCCATGAAGTTCCTGATCTATAATCTTTGGAATGTTTGAGCAGCGTTTGTCAAACCAAACGGCATAAGAATAAATTTGAATAGTCGGAAGGGGGTAGTGATGGCCGTCTAAGGAATATCGTTGGGTTCCACGGGAATGCGGTAGTAAGTTCATACGAGGTCGATCTTGGAAAAAATATTTACTTTTGTCATTGAGTTCATAAAATCATGTGTGTGAGGAGTTGGATACTTATCAGGGACCGCACGCTTATTCAGTGCTCGATAATCACCCCAGGTTCATATTTCACCTCATGTTTTTTAGGTACCACATGCAGGGGTGATGACCATAGGCTTTTGGAGTGGCACATAACTCTCATCTTTAGAAGCTTATCAAATTCCCATTTCGCCATCTGCAGCTTTTTAGGGTCTAACTGTCAAGGTTTTGATGAGACTGGAGGACCTTTTGTAAGAATATGGTGCGTCACCGTGTGCTTTGGAGAGGACTTTGTTCAATCCGTTTGTCAGCTAGAGGACTTCTCGCAGAAGAATACCATACTCGGAAGTGATATTTATTGGAGCCATGACCAGGTTTATCGTTTCCTCTCCGTGACAACACACACGCGATAAAAAAATTCGCCATTAAGGCTAACTAGCCTCTGCTGACTTCGGTCGACCAGTAATCAATGGTGTTGTGGGAAATCTTTACCGATGAGGGTGACGATATGTCGGCGACGGCGAATTTCTACTGGAATAATATGTGGAAACCAACGTCTGGGATCGAAATTCTGGTTTCATATGTGGTAACTGCAGGTCTGTCTGCCCCTTGTAGTACCAACACCGGGCTGAGTGGTGTTTTTCGGGAAGTGTGGGTGGGATTATGCACACTTCTGCTCCAGTGTCGACCGAAAACTGCACTCCAGTCTTCATATCCGTGTCCCAAACCAAACGACTGTGTTGTTGTACGCCAGCGGGGGCAGTCCTCACTAATCGCCGGTTTTTCCGTCTCCCAACAAAAAGGTTTCAACATCGCATGGTAACAAATACCGACGTGCTTTATTGCCAAACTTCTTGTGATATCGGTGTGTGCTACTTTTAGACGCACTCCTACTTGTGGTTCTATCATGACTGTGGGATCTGCTTCTATGGAACTTCAGTGACAGTCGGTGATACTGCAAAGCCGTCCATTGCCCTGCAAGTATGTCTGTCTCCCTCTATGAAGCAGCTGCTCAGTCATTTTGCTTTGGCTCAGCAATACTGCCAACCTGTTTAGGCACTCGTTCATACATACTGTCAGAAATGTCAACCAACCTGTCAGTGCCACTGCCCGCATCTTTGACAGCCAATATCCGCTGAATACATGAAGGAAGTCCCCGTAGCCAAAGCTCGTAGAATAGACGGTTGCCCGCGTTCCCATTTTTCAGCAGACTTCGCGTATATCGCCTAAGTTGTGAAGGTGTCCTGCCACCAAGGCGTACGCTACTTAGTAGTTGATCGACAGTTTTCTGGTCAGGTAAAGAAGTAGCTTTCATCCCTTCTTTTTTCAACACGTCATAAGGTGTCTGGGTGGGGCTTTAATTGCGCCTCCCTTACTTGTTCAGCCGCTTATCCCGGTAAAACAGAACTTGTGTATCCGAACCTTGTGTTTTTTGAAGTTATATGGCTGACCACGAAATGTTCTAAGTGTAAGAACCACGACTGTGGGTTATCAAACTCAAAAGAAGACACAAGAAGATTAATGCCCCTATATTCGAAAAGTCCTGATTATGAGAGTTTAAAGACATCACTACTGGTACAGTAAAAATAGCGCTAGGAACTTAAAATAAGAAGAGTAGGAAGAGTACAATAAACAAGCATGTTAGTGCCTACCACAAAGCAGCTGGAGATATTCTCAGTATATACATCCTTATTGTGTACAGTTATTAGTGACTATGGTTGCGGTACTCAAGTGGAACCAACAATAATATCCACCAGTGAAACTTGCGAGCTTTTAATAACACCGGACCCACCAGTTTGTTGAGCTCTGAGCTCTGACTCCAAGTTCATATACGCGTCCAGATACACCATGGCCTGTCTATTATTCCCCACCCTGCTCATCCGCCTGCGCCAGACAGCGTAAAAATCAGGAGTTAACGCGAATTATGTATCAGGATATTGTATTAGTCAGTGAGCGGGTAAAAGTCTTTAAATCAGCACAACCGAACAAAATCTTCAATTATGAGTTATTAAATATATCAACACTGTGAAACGAAATGCTACAGAGTCTCGACGAACCTCAGGCCACTGACTTTGCGAAATTATTCACCGCTACACTAAGGTTTGCCTCTGGCAGACGGAAGCAGAGAAATGTACACAATGGTGAGTAGAAGGAAAATTTGGAGAGGCAGTTGCACACAAATGTACTTCAGAAGTGTAATGCGACTGAAAGTACCCAATTAGGGAAACACTCCGTCAGAATTCTAGAAACGTTAGAAAACGTTGCCTTGCAAAATGAGAAATACCTATAGAAGGAAAATCTTAAAGCTCAAGAAGCTATGAAGATACAAGTGTTAATTGAACCACTTCATATCCAATTTCAACGAAAAGCCTTTTTTTGATGAAAAAGGAAACAAAAATAGAATTCTTTAAAGGAATGAAAGAAGTCATTTTCACCTAGAAATTATGACACTGTGGGTAGTAAGTCTTGGTTGTTTGGCATATTTGAGGTTTGGATGACTATAGCTTTTATTCCTTTTCGTAGAAACTGTTGGTGGGCTAAAACTTATCTACAACAATGAAACCCGCCAATTTTAAAGTACGTGTTACTCTTTTAGGTTTTGTCACTCGAAGTGGTTCATTGAATTATGTTATTCCAAATTTTTTCGGCATACCCTGTTTATTGAACAGTTGCTAGATTTTTTAGTTAGTAGTGAAGGGTTTCGGTAGCATGTTTTGGATGGTGCAAAGGATTTCGTAACATTTGATTAGAAATAACTACATCAGCATTTGCAGGTGGCTAGTAGAGATCATTTTCTTAGTGAAAGACAGAGGAGTTATAAGCTTTTATAGAATCCTCTCCTTCGTTTCACTGCTGGCTCCTGTTGTCGCTGTTAGTCCTGATTTTGACCCTTAAGGGTCACAAAGGGGAAATTGGAAAATAAAGGGCAAATAACGGGGAAAAAGAGACATTTATAGAGATGCTCTTTATAAAAGGCGTAAAAATGGGGGGAGGGGGGTAGTAGATTTTTACGCCACAATTAGGGGGAAATGAAGTGAATTCTAGGGGGAAAAGTAGACATAAAGGTTAAAAGAGTAAAGCGACTTAAGGGGGGGATAGATAAAAAAAAAGAACAAAAGGTGGCATTCGGTTGCATTTCCCTGCGAATGTCGCTTCATTTTACCTTTGAGCTTCCTCCTCATTTCCCGCTTTTTCCCCTTTTATTCGATTTATTTTCCTCTTTTTGGGCTGTATGTGTTGCGTTAGTCCCGTTGAGGCATATAAAACAAACTAGCTTCGTGAAAAGACATTGAAAAATTGATACATACAAATCCTTTAAATCGGAGTATTCTTGCTGCCGTCCAGTAGTTTTTGCGTAGGCTGACTACAATGGTAAGGCTCTCTAAAGTGTAGTTTTGTGACCTACTGGTTTTCTTCGACCTCCATATGTGCACATCAAATTTCCTAGCATGGCTCTTAAAATATATTTTGTCGCAGGAGGCCCCTAGGACGTGATAACACGCAACCACCTTTGCTTTAGCAGTGTAAGACGTACTCTTGTCAGCCGTGTAATTTATTTTATTACTCAGCAAATGTGTTGAATTGTGTAATAGTGAAAGCACAACTTAGAGAGAGATCGATAGGAATCCATGTAATACTGAACTATACCACTGCTTGAAGCAGCGTGAAGAAGTATGCAATGTAACCATAGCATTCGGGAGTATTTAAATCGTAATGATACTCTACACGTGGCCAGTCAAACCGCAGAACTTTGCCTCTCTTCTTTGACCACCAAATAGCCTTTAACTCACAAATAACGAAACAGTTATTTCTTTTTAGTTTTTTAAATAAAAATAAAGAAAAATGACAGTATATATTCTATTGACACTTGAGTACTTATCTGGACTTTTGACTGCTTTTCTTGCTTAAAGTAAAAGTACATTCAGTAACGATGTACACACGACTAAAAGATGTCGAATCATCTGAAATGCGATGGGGATGTAAATAAACTTTCAATTGGCCTGTTGTGGCCTCTAAATTATTTGTGTGAACCTTTCTGGATTTATTTAGGAATGAACGTTCAGGGTCATCAGGTGGTCATCCAAAAATGGCGAAATTTTGTAGTCCCATCACGTGACTGCCCCTAACATTCTGGTAACCTGTAACAACTTAATGACATGCTGGGTTCTACGAATCCCTGTTCATGCGAGTTTTATGATCTTCACAAAGGTCTTCAACATTCGTACGTCAATTCCTCCCGAAGATCACCTACATGAGTTATGTTAACTGACTTTTCTACTGACTCATCGGTTACTTAGTAGAAAAGGAAGTTGACAGCAGTGAATAGAGTTCGTACAACTCGAAGTGTATCATTGTACTGTCATAAGGCGAAGTCGTGGACGCTTTGATTTTATTCCTCTCTATCATTTCTGTGCATTCTTATCTCCCTTCCTCTTCTGTGCGCTTCCGACATCAAGCTGTGCGCAACTGTAAGAGCAATTCAAACATGTTGAAAGAATCACTTGCCAAAGAGCAAATAATTGTGTGATCTCAATACTTTTCACTCTAAGCTGTTGCGTTCGGACTGTAGTGTCAGCCAATGTAACCAATTATACCTGTCTATGCAGTAATCCGTATTGTCATTACTTTGTTTTCTGTCAGTATCTTAGTGCTCATCAAAGCGTATTATCCTCCACTCCGTCTTGACAATACCTCTGTTACGTCCTAACGAGTTTAAATGACTCGTGACAGTATTTTATCTGGGGTGTGTCACTGTCAAAGAACAAATCATCCAAGGTGGTTTGTACCAGATCATAAAAAGAACACTGAAACTCACTTAGATTGATACAAAAGACTTTTGACTAGAATTTTTTGCATTTCACACCTCATTTTCACAATGTCCATAGTATTCCCACATAAGTTCAGGTTTTAAGATCATTGGAGCTATGAGATGCTAGTATGTATGTGTTAGGGATATTTGATTAAACCATTTGATAACCATTCTTCTGTTAGTCATCATTCAAGCTTCGACAAAATGGGTTGTTAAAGTTATTGCATACTGACCTCATAAAGAATGCAAGTGAGGTTATGTTGTTTGTTTTCTATTTCTGAGTAATCAGGAAGTCGCTCATATTAATTGTATTGGTTTACTAGTTCAGATAATTAGTGTCCAACCTTGAATGGAGCGCATTGTTATTTTTAAAACCTACCACACAATAACTAGAGGGAAATAAAAACCACTGGACTCATTTTTCCAATTAAAATATGTATAACTGCTGTTTACTTCTGTATACAATTGATGAAGGTCAATGTCAATTTAAAGCACCAATGAAGTCTGTCATTGTTGTCTTAATTAGGATGCTATTCCCGCTTTCTCAACCCTTGTTTACATAAAATTGTCTATACTGTTAAATTTTAATCGTATAGACGCAAGTTTGTCTGTCGTAATGCATCAGCATTCAGTTTGTCTGTAACCAAACCGCTTATCTAAATGGACTATGATCCTCAGTTTCACCTATAATGCTGTTATAACTAATTCGGTATTTTGGCTCTTTGACTTCCAAATTTCGGAAATGATGCTTCCTTGGAGGTACCGAACATACCAAGCAGCTTTGTACATTGTCACTTTTCACCGCCTATATGTTTACATTTTGTAATGTCTCCACTGTCATAAGCACTTATCTACCTTTCATACTGCTGTTCCACTCAGTTGGTGGTAACATCGCAAACATTTGTGGTTTGCACAGTACTAATAAAGTTAGTCTCACAAGTGGAGGATTTAAACTAGCGTCAAACTTTTTATTGCTTGAGAAATATACGGATTAATAAAGAGAATTATGATGTACTCACGATTTAACTGTTTTCCATACTGATATTGATACACAAATAAATTTCCACCGTATGTACTTACAAATGAAAATACATATTTGGTTTTTTCGTAAAATTAGAATACTTGGCTGCATAAGTGGAGAATGATGAACGTAAGAGTGATATCACTTCTGCACGAAATCAGACAAGTAATTCAAACAAGCGAAACAAATTGGTTGACCGGTTATTTTTGGATAAATATATCTATTTAATTCAGGGTTAGTGTTGCTTACATACGTCACGTGTCTGAATGAAAAGTAAGGACTTTGTCATATGCGAACTGTTTACAGACTCCCCGTGCACTTAAGTATCTGGTAGATCGCATTGATGCTTAAGTATTTGTATTGAGTAATGCAGTTCAAGCGCAATGTGAGAGGTGGTTCGTTTATAATGTGATACCGCTGAATATGGGTTAGTTGCATTTAGTTTGTTGCCTCAAGTCTCCCTAAATGAGTTTCTGAAAGTCGTGTTACTCAGTGACTTGTTCGAAATCAGTACCAGAAGTTATCATCGCCGTTTATTTGTGTTGTGTTCTTAAAAAATTCATAGGCAATAAAAAGTTTGAGTTATATATTAGATAATTGCCTGTGTTGGAATAACTCCGTTACTCTGTTTTGCATCTTCATAACATCATATTTCGTGTGGCAATCCTATGTCTGTCCATGCTGCGATGAGTTTAAAGCCCTTGGCATACATATTTTGGAGATAAGTAGTGTTCATCAATAACATTGTGTATACCTCTTGAACTATTCTTATTGATATTACATTAATAGTTTTGTTCTTTATTTCTCGAAATCAATTGTCGAACATTCTAACTAATGAGATGCAACTTAACGCGTTTCATGTTTATGTGTTAGACTATGACTCATACTTATTGGGTGAATGCCTATAATAATAACCGGTTGCTCGGATCGAAGTAAGTGGAATGGGGTTTCATCTAGTGACCCAACTTAAACGATAAAAGTATGCGTGTCTCATTGTAGAGTTGAGAGTTCATTAATTGACATTCGTTTTCGTTTGTGGTTGCAATGACCACTACTTTTTTAACGCTTCCTAAGTACGCATTGATAGACCTAATCAGTTAACATTCATGCAACTGTCTGATTTCCTTTGATAAGTTCAGAACACGTGTTCAATGTTCAAGTGTTGATACCTTTCCAACCTCGCTCAAGTAGCAGCTTTTGGCAGGGAAAGGTGAAAAAACCATATTGCCTTTAGTTGTCTCTGTAGATCATTATCAATATCAAGATAGAATCAGGCATTGCTGTGTAACTGTCCAAGTGTCCACACCTCATATTAGCACATAAAGTAACAAAGTAATAAGATGAAAGATGAATAAAGAAGTCATTTAGAAGCAGTGAAGAGTGGTAAAAGAGAGGAAGGAGAAATGATAAAATCCTAAATTCAGTGTACCGGTTAAGATGAAGATAAAGTGTGGATACATCTGGGCAATTAAAATCGATTACGAGCAATGTTACCTAGAGTTAAAACCACAGGTCTCTGTTGTCACTTGGACCCAAACCAGTTAGTTTGCACCTTCCTACATGGCTCAGGCTAACAGATAAAGTGATACCATGCTCTGGTCTGGCGGCTGTGAGCTTTTTCCAGCCTGAAACTACTTTGGCCGAAATTGTATCACGAGATAGACGCTGACTAGACATGCATATCACATGTCCCAGCCATCTCAGTCAATGAACGTTCACAACCGTATCAACTCACTTTCCTCTCCTCCCTAAAACTCTACATCTGACTTCCGCGTTGATGGTATGGCGACACCACGACACATGGCCTATGCTACGAAGGCAACGATGGTCAAACATATGAAGCCTTCTTATGTCCTCTACCTTTAATTGCCACATTTCTAAGACACAGTAGAACAAAATGAACTGCAGCGTAGTAAGTACACTCTGCGCTTAATCGACAACCAGATATCAAGGTGGCGCCATCATTCCACTGAGGACTCTTTACTCGAAAAGCAGTAGGCATGTTATAGACTATGCTAAGTTGTCAAGTAAGCTACGTACATCAAGTGGTGTCCGCCAAGGGTTTCCACTCTGTACATTCCTAAACAGTTTTGTCATAGACTTTCTTACGGAGATCTCACTCGCCTCATCTCACATCACGGGGTTTGCTCTGGTCACAGGAGAATCCTTGACAGAACTAGAATACGTAGTTGATATAATTCTGTTAGGTGAAAATGCTGACAAGATGCAGTCTTCTGGGCACATTGAGTAGCAGTTTGAGGGTTTTTAGGATGCGTTTCTCACCACCTTCTCAACGCAAATTGTTGCTCCACGACTGGTCTACTGCAGTGCTTAGGCTAACAATTGGGAGTGAAGTTATTGAGTGTGTTGACCACTTCACTTACCTAGGAAGTCTAATCAGGGGTGGGTTTATCTTTTGAAATGCTCTACCCAATGTTTCTGACATCTCTTAAGGTTGCTACTCTCCATAGATGCTGTGTCACAGACTGTCATAAATATCATATTTCTTCCTACCTGTTGCTCAAATGAGTTGGAACAATCCTAGTTGTTGCTTATTTCTCATCCTCCAACGGGTCACGAGCGTTAATCTCACTCCACCTATCTGGGTTTAGACAGCCAGGTGGTATCTTAAGCACTCAGACAATAGGTGTGGCTTGTTGCAAATTACTTGAACTTGCATGTGGTTTTTGACTTGGATTTTTATTATACCTTTTTGTATCTCGATATAGTGCTTTAATCACCAAACTTCATGATGTTTTTATAAGCACTACTTACGTTTGTGCATCAGAGATTAAAAAACCCAATGAAATCACCAACAGCAGGTAATTGTCATATGACCTATGGAAGTCGATATTCGAGTTACAGGGATAAAACTCAAAATGACTAAATGGGTTGATATATTCAGAAAACCTCATTAGGTTATTTCCACTATTTGGTTGGTTTGCAAGGAAATCAAGATCTGTTCGACCAAAATGTGGCATCAGTCCACGCTCTCACGGCTGATTTGGGTTGAAATGTTACTTGTACACCCAAATCAAAGCTGATGTTTTTCTGGGAGGACCACTTTTCTTTCGTAAATAAAAATATTTCATAACGTAGTTAGTCATTGTGAACGGTTGTGTTTTCATGGTTGCTAGCAATCCAATTAAGTTTATGCACCATTCGTGTTTTCAAAACCCATTTTCAGGAATCTTCTACAATTAGTTTGCAAATTCTTCTATGTGAACCATTTGTATCTACTAATCAGACTTTTTCTCTTCCTTTTGTGTAAACAGTAAGTAAAAGTACTGAGTCGAGTTTTTGTAGCAAAGGTCATGATTCCGTAGGTGTATAACAGCATTCTAAGATGTAAGTAAAAACTGTATCCAACATCAGCTATGTTTTGCTATTTTAGGGATGCAAACTAATCCGTTTGTTGATGTTAATCTGGGCTGATCCCGTTGTTCTGGTTCCTACACGGAGTTGAAGGAATGAAATCCACCTTATACAATTTTTTTGAGAAATTATTCTACATCAGGGTCTTTTTAAAGCGAACTTCTCTTTACTAGTAGTGAGGAGTCTTGGAGTTAATTTCCGAAAAAAATTATAGGATCCATAAAAGTGGTCTATCTGTGAGTGTGGCGTTGTCTGAAATTTATAAACCTGATGTACTTTTGTAATGTGTTTGCCTTTATGAAGATCTGAAAATAGCTGGTTGAACTAAGGCAAGCAGTTATATTCTGAATGTTGAGATATGGCTCGTTGGAATAGGCATTTAATTTTCAAGCAGTAAATACAGTGTTCAAATCCCACTCCACCCTTTCGGCCTAGTACAGAAATATGTATCGGGTCGATTCGCACTATTTTATTTAGTTTTTAAAATATGAATTTCTCGCAGGACATCCACTTTATGGAATCACAACGTTGCTTCTTCTAGATGCTGCTAAAATATCCAGATATTCTGAAGTTCATGAAATATGCGGGCTTACGAGTATGTCGTGTTTGGTGAAATTAATCCACTTTCTGATTTTTAGTTTGCTGTAACCTTAACTCAGAAGTATCCATGTAAAGCCCCATCCGTTTTATTGGCTGAAGGTATTTTGCCTAAAGTGTGTTCGGATGACCTTGTGTATGAGCAAATCACATTGGAGAAGAATGAATCACCATGTATCGATGTTTTACTTATAGAAAACGTACCTGGTATGTTTACTTTTGCTTTGAAAAGAAACAATTTAACGCAACAAAGTATACAAGTACAGAACAATTAGAATTAAACACTAACTTATTTCACAGAATCATTTCTTGGAAGGCAGAGAAATACTGAGCGGAGGAACAGAGCAAAATATGGTAATGGAGTGACTTTTGGCATAATTAGTTGTCATACCATGATGTGCATGATAAGTGGTTGCTCTAAAGTAGTGTTAGGACATTTCACTACTGCCTAGACAAAATTTTTGTACATCTGATTTCACTGAATCATCCAACTGCAAGGTTTTCATTCACTCTTCAGACTATCCCCAGTTGAATAACTTCTTAAACGAAATTGGTCACCCGTCTTCTTTAAATGTCCTCTTATTTATTCCCTCCAAATATCAGATGGTTAATTTTAGCTTAAGACATTAACAAAACCTATGTAAGTTGCTTCAGTCCTATGACTCCTATAGATGGCTGTGTTGTAGAAAATGTATCAAGGGTGATCCATGTTGATTTGTGCTTTTCTTATCTTTTTTTCGTCGCCTCATATCCTACCGATTTCCAGGAAAGTCCTTCCCTTGACCTTTTACATGCGGAATCTCAGACTGTCTAGGATAACTCAACCTCTGCTCTTACTTTTTATAAATTCCCGTGTTTTGCTTGTATTTACTTATTGTTCCTCCTTATTCTTTCCTGGACTGCGAAAAAAGGACTACGTCGAATTTCCTAGTATTTTGAAGGCTGTTAGTAGAGCGAATGGTACACTACTAACCGAGCTGATAATTGCGGTTTCGGATAGGAATCTGAACTCTTTTCGACAACTGATTAAAAATAAGTTATCTGATGACAAGCATTTTATGCATCTGCACCTCTTTCCATCTGTCCTCTGAGACCATAAGCAAATATAATAAACTCTATTCACGCACAACTACAAACGAAAATGCAACCATACCTTGTGTAGCTTGTGTACTGTGTGAAGGAAATCATGTTGGACACAGTCTTATCAGTCAACTTTGCAGTAGAAAATAGTCATGATGACTCTGAAATCATTAAACATTTTAACAATTCTGTTATTCATTATATATTGCCAAACAGCACCACTGCTAATAATGTGTATTTGAAAAATGTTGTACAACAAGTAAACTGATGCAATATCACATGCTGAGAATTTTGTACTGTAAACATTATTATGGTTTGGAATAAAGCCAATATATATTGTATCATATATTAACTGGGTGACACTTTATGTGGATTAGTGAAACTACCTGGTCACTCATGCCATATTCAATGGAGTGTGCTTTTCGGTCGTGAGTCAGTGGCTAGAAGTTGAGTTCATGAACCGTTCAGCTCTACTACACTTGACTAACCGAGTGCCTACATTGTTATATCACACTTTATTCATAGTGTGCTATGACATGTTTCCTGGGTAGAAAACTTAAGTCTCTTTATAAGGTTGTTAATCCACATTTAGTTCATTAACCTTGATATATATTGCTGTTTTTATAAGCAATCTTGATTGACTGTAATGCTCACTTCACTAATTGGAAATGAAAGTCATTCAGTATGATTAAAATCAGGGTTATTGACTTAATTTACTTTCATCAAAGCCGAAGTTGTGTGAGTATAAGGAATGTTGGTACGGGGCTGCTGACTTGCCGTAAATCATTAATTGGGATCGCAATTTAAATAATTCAGCATCATGATTTGGGAAACTAGTTTTTTTGTATCTAAAAGTTTTCTTTTTTCCGCTTTGCTGTAGGACTTGGATCTATTGGGACACTAGCATCTGTACATCGAAACAGATTTTGGAGATATTTATATATTAAGGGCCTTGCTGAACTGCCAACGAAAGAGCGGATCGTCGAAATGAAGTCAAAACAAGAGGTTAGACAATCACCACATATAACAATGGTGTAAGCATTACTTCTGACTAAGGCATTAGATTTTGATTCGTCGAAAAAATGTGATTAAATGCCTTAATTCTCTACTAAATGGTCGAAGCCAACGAAAAGTCGGAAAGTCCACACGTCCAGTCTTATGTGCCTACAAATATTATTTTGTTCAGAAATAGTTTGGTTTCTTCTTATGTAAATAATAATGACTACATGTAAAAATGTTAGTATTATCTATTATATAACTAAATGTATATGACACCACTTCAGGGCTTCAGAACTAATTGCATCATGGACTTATTGAGTAACAGACTAACTAATTTATGTTATGACTTGTAATTTCCCACTGTTAGTGGGACTGAATTGACAGAGAATCAACAGATGTAACATAAAAACCAAACCCGTCTTTCAAAGGGTGGCTGACGTGACTAATTAACTCAGTGGGTAACGCCCTTTTTTCTGAAGTGGATGGGTTTTGGGTACGAGTTTTCGGCGGAACAGCATCACTCACTGAAAGGCAGGTACATCCAGCTGATGATTTCCAACTGGGACAAAATGCACGTCCCGGATTCCACTGTTAGCTATTATCCACATTTTCTAGTTGTTACCTTCGATATATATATATATATATATATATATATATATATATATATATATATTCCATCACTTTGATTACTTTTCGCATTGTGGTTGGTTTCAGAAAATAGGTATTTCGCATCAAGCAGCATCCGAAAGTGAACTTTTATCAACGACGTGAATAAGAAGTTAGACTTCACCAAAGATCATGGCTAGACTGGAGTTGAGATATTCACCAATCCAGAACCATTTCCAAAGAGTATTGATACACTCATAAAATTGATCACTTTTGCCGCGATCAGTTTTATTTCTACTGTTTAAAAGAAGACGCTAAAATCTAAATTAACCATGATATTCGAGTGGAAATAAAATGAATCAAATGTAGCGTGTACTTTTTAAAACTTTTGAGGGTGTACACTCACATAACAATGATTTTCAGCAATAATGATTTATGTGTCTGAAAGAATTGTGTTGTAATATGAGGAAGTTGAAGCGTTGTAAAGGGTTACGTATCATTTACTAAGCTATATTTTACTCACATCAAGCGCTTTCTCTTGTGCTTAGTTGTGTATTGTACTCAAACACAGTTATTTAAAACAGACAAACCAGCATAGAAACATATGTAGGAGTGCATTAATTCAAGTATTCACACTTCACACCAGCATAAAGAGGAAGTAAATCGAAAAATGATGTTATTGAAGTCTGGAAAGGTGTTTTGAGAGAAAGGAAATAAGTGATCGAAGTTTAGTAAAAAGTTCAAAAATACGGATATCACAGCGCTTATCTCCGCACCATTTTAGCACCTTTGTGTTATGGCGAAAAAAGTCGCCGATTACTGGTTTTTACCATCTCCAGGTTCTTTTATGTGATATGACAATACACTTGTTTATTGGCTTACGGCGTTTGTCCCACTCCTGAGGTATGCATGATCTGGATTCCATCTTATTTCTCTCAAACACGTGCGTTACAGATATAAATATAGATTTATGATTAGTGTCCATTAGACATTATTATTATGTGGTTTGTCCACTGATTCCCGATACTTATTAAGTGCACTGCTTTAGGTAAAGTAAGTGGATCGATCCTAATCGAAAGCTATAAAGACAATGATAATTGACATTAGTCGTTTCCGCTCATTTTAATTCTATGTGCAGGAACAGATGGGCTTAGAGTTAGGCATAAGGAACCTCAGGATTGTCGGATGAAGACTTCTGGTTGAAATTATGAGTGACAGAGTACCTTAACTGGTTCAATTGTGTCAAATAGCGGTGGCTAGCATCTGAATAACCTAGACATATTGTCCTAAAATTCACTAAGGTTGGGAAAATGCATCTGTTATTAATTTCGCCCCATTTTTTCCATTACGGTATATTCCTTTGCTCCGTCGTCTTCTCGTCATCTTTCCTCTAAGTTCTTTTACAACTTTACTTATGTTGCTTTCAGAGGTTTTGCAACTTGTGAACCGGTACATTTAATGTAGTAGATTCCGCTTTGTTACTGTCAAACAGTTAATGATTTTTGTTTTATACTGAAAACTCATATAATTAAGCGACATGTATGCTGAAAATTTGATTCATTGCCATACTTTTGTAACATATATGTTTTTACTCTGTTTGTTGAGATTATGTATATGATCGCATTTTTGCATGGTTGACTAAGTAATCAAGTTATCAATTTAAACGAATTCGTTTTTAGGAAAAACCGTCTATATTATGTGGTCAATCTTATGTACTTCAACAACATTTATGCAACATGACTCTTTATATACCTATGAATCCTTCCCGAGAGTGGATTCTCAACAAAACACATGTCAAGGTTGCCTTCAGAAAATATGTAAGCTCTTCTGAACATGTTAATCTACTTACTTTAGGGTATTATAATACACGAAGATTCTATTTCGCTGCCAACGAAACAAATAACTCCTAAGAATGCTGAATCTCAATTCAAAGTTAGTGTCAATGTAAGTTTCCCAGGTGGAAATTAACGTTGATTAGCTGACAGGAAATCTCTCTTTTAGTTGTCATTAGTTTCTCCACTTTTTTATGATAAAATATGGTTTGTGCTCTGATGTGATTATAGCTTTCCAAGTGTGACTTCATGGAAGAATGCATTGAATTCAAGTTACATATTATTATCTTCCTTAGAGTTGCTTCAAGAAGATAACTTTTACATTGAATATGAATATTAATTTGGATACTTTGTGGATACTTATTGAGAAAATAGCTAATTCATTTTCTGAAGAATTGCTTATGATGGCATCTAGAAAGTGGTTGTATATATCATTATTTGCTAGGAAGATGATATTGCAGCAGTGTCCAGCTTAATCTGGAACAGTACTAGACACAGTGGTCACTATAGTGTGAAAACTATCAGCTGATTTCAGTATTTGTATCGAAAAAAATCATGCATAGTGATTCATTTCATACGGTACCGTAGTATACAAAAATATATGGGAAGCACACTGACTGATAGGTTCTGTGGAGTTATTCTGAGCAGCGATAAGTGTTATGGTCCAGTCAAGTTTGTAAGGCGTCAGAGATCAGTAGCAGTCACTGTATTTTTGTGTATTCTAGGGAGACTGACTGGAAAGCAGTGAAATTTTTTACTTACATAGACGTGTTGTTAGACCACACTCTAAGTGATTAGGACGAAGAGTGAAACAGTTATAGTTTAACTGGCATCTTACGTTCCATTTTTTTCTTGCTATTTAGCCATAAGTCAAATATAGCATAGATATTTGGTCATTTCATCAAGTTAGTGAACGCTGATGGGAATTATAAGCGTTACTAGCCCAAGATGTTTGTCGTTAGATACTTGAGTTAGTGAAGATTCATTTATTCCTTGCCTTTACCTGGGAATTAGACGCGATTTATTTTGGTCTTACAATATCATTCTAGGTTGGCGTTTCCTAAGAAAACGGATGGTTTATGTATTCGAATAAACCAGTGAACCATGGATTCAAGTTCATTCTACATACCTTGACCTTAGCCATTTTCACATGTGCAGTATGATTTATAACCTTGTCCGCAGACTTGTACAGTATTTTTATGTCGTTACAAGAAGCATGATTACCAATGCAGTATTACTTTACACCTCAGCTTATTCGATTTAGTTATGAGAATAACAACTATCTTGTTTAAAATCAATGCATACAATTTAACTGCCTTTGTATTTTTGGCCTTTTAGCCTTTAAAAAACTAAACAATAATACATTTAAACAGCTTAATAAGAAGACGAAGATTATCTGAAACATGTGATGTATTAGGGCATACTGTTAAAAGGTTAGATGAATTGGTTAACCTCAGATGTAAAATCTCATGTGAACGAGTGAAGTTGGACTTTTATAAGTCTTGTATTTCTAATCACACGTTTCCTGGATAGTTTTATAAAACTTTACTTTCCAGCAAATTACAACCGAATATCTCAAATCTTATTCGAATTTCGAAATCTCATTTGGAAAATTGTAGTGAAAATCTTATCAAGTTAATCAGACATCATGTACATGCATCTTCCGTATTGTCGGAAATTTCTTTAGTTTGCTACATCAAGTTTATTAATTTTTTCAGTTCGGTTATAATAAGAGGAAAAGAAAATATAACAACAAATTTGAACAAATCTCAGATTACGAGCAACCATGTGAATTCATTACCAGTTAACCCAGACAACTATGTGACGAATTTACCATCCGTTCAGTTATCTGTTCTTGACAAAGAGGCGCACTCTCTTTGGTTCAGTTTTTCTGTCCCTCAAACACAGAACTCTAATTTAACAACCGATGCTCAATTTGAAAACCTGTACGATCAACTAAGTTCACTTGTCCCAACTTCTCCAGACAATCAGAACTGGCTAAGAGCTAAATTAATAGACATCGCTCATGGGTTTCATAATCCTGGTTCAAGACGGAAAAGCATCTTAACGCGTGAGCATTTTGAAGCACTGAAAGGATTACGAAATAACTCTGATATTGTCGTACTAAAACCCAATAAAGGATCGGGTGTAATCGTTATGAACACGTCTGATTATAAAAGTAAGATTTTATCTATTCTCAGTGATGAAAGCAAATTTACATCAGATGCCCCCTCTGAAGAAATACGTAACTTGGAAGGCAGAGTAAATTCCAAACTTGTGAAAATCCTTGGCATGAATTTAATCGTCTAAAACCTGTGGGATCTGAACATCCATATCTATATGGGTTACCTAAAACTCATAAACCTGACAATCCGCTGCGTCCGATATTGTCTATGTGTCGATCACCCACACAATCTAGGTAAATGGTTGGCAAAGCTCTTGAGTCCTGTCAGAAGCCATTTGTGTAAGTCCTCATTGAAGGATACATTCGACCTTATTGACTGTTTAAATGATATCAATATCAAGGATAAGACTATGTACTTGTTCGATGTAAATTCTTTATTTACTAATGTACCTCTGGTAAAAACAATTGATAGTTTATGTGACTATATTTCTTCTAACAGTCTTATATTCCCTATCCCTATTAATTTTTTAAAAGATAAAGTTGAATTCACATTCGAGGGTGAACACTTTCAACAGATTGATGGAGTTGCGATGGGTAGTCTATTAGGACCGTTGCCATCTGATGTGTACACGTCATGTATTGAAAACATGACTGACGATTTCATCGGAAGGGTTTGACTTCATAAGAGATATGTCGATGATATAGTCATTATATGTGAAAGGCCTGGTGATGCAATGTGCCTGCTAGAGAAAATGAACATAGCTCAAGATCACATTAGCCTGACTTATGAACAGGAGACGAACAACCAGCTACCGTTCCTAGACATATTGCTCAGTCGACGGGAGGATGGCTCGATCAGGAGGTTGATGTGTAGGAAACCTACATGGACAGGGCAATATCTTAATTTCTATAGCTATTGGCCGGTCCAATATAAACGTGGTTTAGTTAGATGCTTATCCAACAAGATAAACCTCATCTGCCTCGATGACACCAGAGGGAAAGAAACCAACATACTGACGACAACACTGATACAGAATGGCTACCCGTTGAGATTTATCGACAGGTGCAAAAGTTATGTACCATTGAAAAGTACACAGTGTTCCGTTGCTAAGAGAAATTTCTACATCTCATTACCACTTACAGGTGATTCACATAGCTTTGTTTGAAGGAAAAGACTTAGATCAGCCATATGTAAAACATATTATGCAGCCAAGGTCATCATTGTAGAGAAGACCAAGTCCATGTTACAGCACAAACCGAAACAACATATAAACGATTACATCACATCCCACTGTGTTTATCAATTTACATGTATGTGTGGACACATACATAGGGAGGAGTAATTGTGATATGCAGTTAAGGAAGGTGGCTACAAAAACAAATGACCTCAACAGATCCGATAAGTGCAGGTGACAAACATCCATCTTCGTCTGTCGCTGAACATATACTAGAAACTAACCATAGGATAGATATGAAAACAGCCTTTAAAGTACTACATAAAAGTGGTCACGACCGAGTGCTTAAATTTATTGAAGCTCTTACCATCTGTAAATTCAAATCATTCTTGTTATATACAAGAGTAATTTGTACTCACGTTGAACTACCTTGGTAGTGTTGATTTTAATTTTCATACCAAGAATAACGTGATCAACGTTTTTTTCCTTTTTCTCTGCCCTTCCTATTCCTCTGTTTCCTATTAACTTCATTGACTTTTTTCGTAAATTTTCACATAAATAGTTCGACAAGTCCATGTGCGATCGGACTGTTCGAAATGTATATCGTTAGTGCCTCACATTTTTCAGATAATCTTCGTTTTCTCATTACGCTGTTTAAATTTATCAAAGGGACCGGTTGCTTTAAATAATACATTTAGATTTGATTGAAAATGTTTTATTTCTTATCAGGAAATAATTGTGAATCCAGGCCAGTTGAATGGTTCAATTTCGCCCATACCATTATACTTTGAGCAAACTGTAAAACTGTGTTCGCTAAAAACATGATATATGTTTGTACGTTCTTCAAAATAATTGGATCGTTAGATTAGATTGACGTCACCTTACTTTGATCACTGTTATTTCACAACCTGTTTGTTATTACGTTTTTCTTCATATTTCAGATTGGAGATGTTGTCAATGTTGATGTCCCATGTAAAATATTTCTTTATCAAAAGATAGATAATTCAAATTGTACTCAACCGCCAACAAATGTTTTTAAAAACATACATGTTGAAGATTGGTCTTCAGATTTTGAAAAAAGTGATGTTTTAGTTTCTCCATTACAAAACTAAATAAAAATTGATGTACTTTCTAATCACAGTACTTCTTCTTACTTTGTGTTTCTGTTGTTTGAACTTTTCTATTCTGGTTGTTAGTTATGCAATATTTGTTGTTTTGCTTTCGCCTCCGCTCGAATATATTTATGTGGTTTACACAAATTTCACGAACTGTGTGGATCCGTATTTACAGGAGAAAATTAATTGTATTCGTCGATGCCTTTCTAATATACGAAGACGAGCTTATGAACCGATTCAAATTAAACAATGTGAAGGCCCTGATGTGAAGTTCATGGTGAGTTATCAGAAAAGCACTTATTTATGTAGATTTTCGAACATTTCCTTTCCTACTACTTTTATCGGATTTACGGGTTCATGTAGATTTGCAACTAGTCAGTAAAGTATATCTGCAACCTCAGACGAACTTATTTTCCTTTTGGCATCCAAACTTATATCGTTTCGCATCAGTCAGATTTTTTTTGTCGTAACCGTCTACTTATCAGACAAAAAACGACGAACGAGACGAAATGAAACGCATTCATCCACCTCGCGCACATTCTTGCACTAGATAATGAGCCACACCTATTGTATGAGTGGTAGTGATACCATCTGGCTGCTCAAATCTCAGCAGGTGGAGCGGGGCTCGAAATTACAAGACATGGTCCTGTACATAATTGGGTTGCCATTTACTTACAGACGTCAGTAGTTATATCCGCGGAATAGTGGTGATGCTGATGGTGATCAAATTTTCCAGTAGTTAAAAGTTCATTGTAGTTTTACATTTTGCTTTAATAATAATTAATTAAGTGGTTGAAATATTTCAATACCCTCAGTCAAGCGACTACCTAACTGACGAATACCACCATCTAACCAAGTGTTGAACCAGAATTAAATAATGTTAAGCACAAGAAATATATTGTCAGTGATATTTGAAGGTGAGATGAAAATTTGGACCGCTACCGGATTCGAACCAGCGACCACCAGGTTTCCGGCTCGATGCTCTACCAACTGAGCTACCAGGTGCGACTGCTGACCTGGTTTTCATTTCACTATAGTCACCATGAGTTTTGTCTATTGTCTTTTGCTTATCGATAGATAACCAGGGCGATAAAGGTGGAGCTATGGCTCATTGGTTTAGAAAGTTGAGTTTCACCAATCAGGTCATGGGTTCAAAAGCCGCTCCACATACAAAGGTTTGGGCAGCTAGGTAGTATCATTAGCCCTCATACAATAGGTGTGGCTCATTACCTTCTGCACGAATGTGCACTATGTTGCTGAGTGGATCTCGAGGGTGATGAACATAAGTCACTAATTGATTGGTTTAATTTGCTGTACTATGAAACTCTAGGGATGTACAAACTCAACAGGATGATTAAGAATCACAAAGCAGTTGAAAGCTTATGAGAAAACGCGTAGTAAATGGGTGTAGAAGATATACTGAAATGAAATGTATTTATCCTCATGAGTGGTGTGTGTTGACTTCTAGCTTTGCTATTCAAGCATTCTATTCACATAGCTTGCAGGTTCACTATATCGTTCATATCCTTAGTAAGGAGTAGTGAATTATCATATCTTAGCTAATATGATCCCTCTTCATGCTTACACCCACTCAAACCAATGTTGGTAAATAAGTAAGCATATCGTTGACTATCACAATGCATTTCAGTAATTTAAGTTCTTGCATTTCAGGATAACACACAAATATAAGATCGACAATGATGGGAAGTAATTTTAATAGACGAGAAAAAAGATGAGTGGATGGAGAGAACGGGAATAAAGTAAGAACGTATTCATCGTTTTGAGGAAGGAATAACTCTACCTCCTATACTTTTCTGAGTCAGGTTTTACGAAGTCTCAGTTCATTTGGCGTATGCTGTAATCTGTTGGTTTGACTTTCACAATAACCATCCTAATGTTATCCACTCTGAAATGATGGTGCTGTAATTAGATTTGAAAAAGACAAGTTTTATTTAGGTGTTTATTATAATCTTAGGTAGTCTTAGAATCGTTGCTGGAATGACATATAGCATCTTCATGCATGTCCCTTTTATAATTCGAAAGTAATTTGTGCATGAAAATCACCGACGATATGAAACTTCGATCCAACTTAAAAACATTTTCATTGGCACCGGTTTTCTGATAGTATTATTCCAATATAATTGCATATTAAGCCAAAATGATTGCATCCATGAACTTTATTTTGCGTTTTGATGTACTAAGGGTAAATGGTTAAATCTTAACCTCATAGTTTTCAGTTTGCGGTTATATTGATAGAATACTCTGTTATACAGTTTGGATTTCTTTTGATATAGTATTCCGAAGTTATCTAACCATCTCTTCTTTAAACACTAGCCAACAGTGATGGAGAGGATATCTGTGGGTCCGAATTTAGGTGTTTCAATGCAAGTGTTTCTGATACTGAAATAACCGCAGGCAGAGCTTTTTAAAAAATTCTTGACATAGTCTTCACTATGTATGAACTGAAAATTGGTGAATGTATTAACGTTGTTGAAAGTACTATTCCCGATCCATTCTATCTAATATCTTTCTCGGGCTGGTTGATTTTTTTCTTTGTTGGAATTTTGAACGTTGAACAGATTTACCGTAACTAGTTGAACGAATATTCACAACCCGTTTCACTTGTTGAAAACGCGATTTCGATTTTTTTAGCATACGTTAGTTCTTACATTAGTTTGTCACTCTCGTATATCGTTCGTGAGCTAATGTCGTCATCTAGTTGCGTAAACCGATGTAGATGTGTAGGTTTCTATGGATGAATGGGATAGTTAATAGTTGGGTGTGTAAACTAATGTACCATAGTTTTCCCCTCCAAAATTAAATACGTATGATGTTAATAAACACTCTTGTAAACTTTTCCTCGTGAAATTGTCCACTTTGTTTCAGATCTCTGATATAAGTCCTTGTGGGAAATCAGCCCTGGTTCACTTCGATCAGTATTATACTGATGCTTATGGACCAGTTGCCTGGCGTGCGATGCGTGTAGCTTTATTGATGCCGTCAAAAAAAGCTATCTTATATAATCGATATTTTCCTAATGTTGCATCAACAATTCCATCATCATTCAAATCCTTTCTACCTAATTTAGATTTTATCCATACTTTAGCCAAATCTCAAAGTTCTCTACCAGAGGAGGTTTTACAAAGTAAACAGATTCCAGATATAGTTGACCAGGTAATCAGCTTTTTATTGACTGTTTGTGTGTATTCTTGAGAGTACAATGTTATGATGATTTATTGACCTAAGTATGAAGTACATGTCGTGCTTAACTTAAGACATTTTTTGATGAAGATGAATAAATTCTCCTGTTGACTTCCAGTATCACTTGAAGTTGTTTCTACCTTCATTCTTTCTTTAACGTCTGTACACAAAACCACTGTTCCTCAATCAAATTCAGTCTATAAGCATTCTTAATGTCTAACTTGTTAGGTACGTCGAGGATTGTCATTTAAATGAACCATGTAAGTTTCTCACTGTTCATGATCAGTTTCAAAATATTTCACATCAATTTCTAAATAAAACACCTAACGGTGGTTTAACATTGGCAGAAAGTCAAGGCCGCCAAACGTGATCCAGATTAATATTTTCCGCTCTGGCTTTCAATGTAGGATTGGAAATCAGTCACATCTTTCCATCAGCATTTTGGGAACTAGCCAGGCACGCAAACCTTTTGGCAATTTCCAACGGTGAATGCAGGTGAGGTTACTGCCAGCTTGTTAAAGCACTTTGCACATTGATGACACTAAGCATTATCCATGTTAAGGGATACTAATCACTAACTGAGTAGATGTGACTTAAGCAACTTTAATTCTGTCGCGCAGCTAAATGATATCGTCCGCATACTCAAGGTCGGAAAATCTTCCACCTAGTAACATATACACCAATACGACACATCTCCATCAGGAATGACTGGAGAATATCATCGATCGAAAAGTTAAAGAGGAATGGGGAAATCGTATAAAGCGGACTAATTCCCCATTTTGCATCAATGAACCGAGGTGGCTATATGCTGTTACTTTACCCTAGATGTATTTGCTTAGGGCTTTCAAAATGTTAAGAGTCCTCTCATGCACAACCCTCTTTAACAGACAGTCACGAAGTACATATCTGTTGAATTAAAGAAAACCAACCGTAGTATCAAGAAACACGACAATCACTGACCAGCCAAACAAATAAAATCAACACAAAACCTCGCGCAGAAATGCATCGGTTGAAGTTACCACATTTTACAGCAACAACCGGTAAGGAAGGAGTGGTAAAAAAACCACAAAAGTGGTTGGGAAGAGAAAAAATTTGATCAATGAGGGTTATTGAAAATGTTCAAAATGTTGACGATGTCAAAGAGTGAACTCATCTGCACCATTGTGACCGGTCTTCAGCCATATCACTGACAGTCTCTAACCACTACTTTAAGTGGAACTGTGGCTCGTTTATTTAGGGGGTTGAGTTTTAACCGGTGGATCACTGCTTCGAAGCCTCCTCCACCTACGGAGCAGTGGACAGTCAGGCAATACCGTCAGCCCTCATACAATAGATGCGGATCATTGCCTACTAGGAAACTGTGTGGTTGGTTGCTGAGTGGATTCTGATTTTCGATTTTCCGAACCATTCATTTCTATCATTTCGAAGACCTCGATCAGATGGTCTACACTTCCATACATGGTTCACTTCATGCAGTGTTGCCACGTCTTTGTCTGACCACCATTTAGCTTTTTAAAATGTAGTGCAACTTCTCGTAGCGTTGCATGTTGACTTAGGTGTTAGCTTTGCACCTGCAACACGTATCCAATACACCTCACTCGGTGAAAGTTATCACCCTGATTGGATGATATTCCTACCTTGCGAAATACCCTTTGCCTGACCTCGAATTTGCTGACATGGCAATTCCGGTACATGTGAGCACTGGTGCGGAGACAAATGTGGTCGGAAACGTGAAATCTCTTGTAGCCTCCTACTTTCAACAGTTATGTCTCACAGCCGCATGAGAGGTCAGTTTAATCGTCATACTCGAGTCCTTTACGTATACGTGTCTCAGAGACACACCATACATCTATGGCTAGAGGTTATAGAGTTCTGGTATATGATTCTTGTTGTTCGATTTGGCTTAGAGCTTAGACGTTGAAATCCCTAATGTAAAACCAAATTCTGGATCTTCAGAAACTGGAATGAAATTTCGATCACTTGTATCTTTGGCAGTGGTCTCAAATTGAGAGGTTGGGGTACTTTTATGAGGCCTAATGTTGGTGTCACGAGATGGAGGTAAGGGAGGAGTTAAAGTTGAGGAGGGTAGATTATGTTTGATTGTGTCTTGTATACTACTGGAAGCGTGTGGATGGTTGATATTTCCTGGCTGCTCATGCTATGGAAGTTGTTTTCTACAGAGTACCTGAAGAGGAAGAAGATTTGTGTGACCTCAGAGGCTATAGAACATTTGCTTGAAGCCTTTTGGGGATTTCTGGTTTGAGATCTGGTTGTTTTTAACACCGAAAAGAAAGAACTCATACTCCCTGCACCGGAGGACCGTGGTGCAGGTCGGAGTGTGCTGCTTTTGAGTCAACCTTTTTTCAACTCCCTACTCCCCATCGAGAAGGCAACATCAACATATTACTGGTGATCATCCATGGGAAACACCTGCTGTCGCACCCCAGTCAGCCAGCAGTACGGCTATGCCTTTGAAACCTTATCATTTATTAATTTACACTATGACTATCTGATTTCGTGTCACTATTATCAAACAGACCTTTCTGGTATGCTAGAACGTCAAGGAAAGAAGCGTTCCAGCGACTGTAGCTCGTTGGAACATTGCGATATATGAACTCGATCTACACGTCAAGGTAGAAGGTATTAGACTACATTCTTATCTCCATCCGTAAGAAGTGACAGAGCTTGGTTGTTTGGATCGGACGCTTCATGCATTTAAATAACTCATACTCGCTGCAGATAGCGACTGTATCAGCTTGGTTAGCTTTATGCACAATTCTCCGAATCCGATGTTTCTTAAGCAGTTAACCAATTAATTCGCATTTTTGAGTGCTATGTTCCATCTACTTCACAAGCCATTTTACTGACACTAGGCTTGTTGCTGTCAGTGGCTTGAATGGGCTGGAACAACTTTCGACCATTACCGGATGAAGGCTGTTGCTTCTGTCTGACTCGCCTCCATGTCCTTACGTAAGTGCTGCGTGCTCTGTCGCATAAGGAATTTACGCATATCATTGGGAATTTCATTTCGAAGATTGGCTGGTAAAATCGGGTGGTTTAGATCATCTATTAATCATCTCAATGGTATATTATGGTTTCTATGCATTTAACGGACTATTCTGTTGGGGACATTTATTACCGATATAAAACACAAAAGTTACACGTATTTTAAAAACTCTAACCTTTTCCAAATATCATCGTATTTATACGCTTTCTTGTCGTTAAACCGAACTTTTACCGATGAAGAGTTATATGACAGGAGGATTATGTGAAGTATATTATCTCTGCTTTGCAACAGTCAGTCAGCAATTAACGACTAGTCATGCAATTATCATCTATTTACAGTTACTTCATAAAAGCTTTAGCTTCGTAGGTTATGAATGCACTTAATAAATCAACATTGTACATATATATAGACACTTGATAGCAGTTTGTGATCATCATCATCATCTAGTCTATGCCTCACAATCTACTTTATAATTCAATAAAGAGATTGACAATTAAACTAAAAGAAAGGGGGCCGTCAATATGAGGACCAAATGCTGGAATCACTAGTCATCCCTCTTATCAAACAAAACATTTAGATTCGGTATTCTGACAACATGTTCACAATTCTCAAGGAGGAAAAAGTAGAAAACAGGTTCAGACTAATCAACCAAGCATTTGAAAGAATCGGCTTCACAGAGGAGGAGAAGTCTAAAAACAAATTTAATTTCTTAGGTGGGAATAACGTCACTCACTGGGTTCAAGCACATCCACAAAACAATTCCCAAGAAGGACGAAATGTGGGTCCTGTATTCAATTGATAGTCACTAACCGAACTTTAACACAATGAATATTTAAAGAGTATCAAGGCACGCGCATAAAATCCCATTTGCCAACAGAGGTTGAGCAGTTCGACGCAGTTTCATCATCATCATCATCAATATCAATATAGGACCAGGTATTACTGCGTAACGGTCTGAATTGCCATAGCTCATGTCAGTACATCAAGTGAAAAGGCAGTGAAATGCAACATGAAGATAAGAAAATTCAGTCAAAAGAAATATAAAGTACGAAAGAGAGAAAGGAAGAATGAGAAAATGGTGAGATTCGGTATAGCGTTGTTAAGACGAGAATAATGTGTGTATACATCGGCGCCACTGACATCGGTTCTGAGCCATATCACCTAGAGTCTCCAACCACTGCTTCCTCTTGTCCCAACCGACTAGTCTACATCACTCCACATGACTCAAACCAGCAGTCAGTGACTTCATACATTGATGCCATATTTTAGTCTGGCTACCTCGGGCCTATTTCCAGCCTGAACCTACTTCGGCCAATATTGTGTGATAAGGCGATCGTCGACCAGGCATACGTAACACGTGTCACAACCATTTCAGTCGATGAAGGTTCATAACCCTCAACTGTCAATTGATTTACCTCTTCTCCCTAAAACTTTATATCTGACTTCTGCGTTACTCACGTGGTGACACCAAGGAATACGTACTATACTACGAAGGCAACGGTGGTCAAATACTTGAAGCCTTCTCATGTCTTCCGCCTTCAATGGCCATGTTTCACAGTCATACAGTAGAACAGATCGGACTGGTTTGCAGTACACGAGACCCTTATAGACAAACGGATATCACAGCGGCGCCATAGTTGGTGTGAATTAGCAAAAGCCAATCGAGCATTTTGTATCCGTGCAGAGATTTCATCGGACACTGAGCTAGTCACCAGCGTAGGGCTGATCCTTCTTCCCAGGTAAGTGAAGTGGTCGACATAGTCAACCACTACACTCTCTGTTGTTAGCCGCGGTGAGGCACCGTTGGAGACCAATCGTGGAGCAACGATTTGCATTTAGGTGGTGATAAACGCATGCCAAACATTCTCAAATTCCCACTCCAAGTGTTCGGAAGACTGCATCTTGTCAGCGTCTTCACCTAACAGGACTATGTCATCTGCATATTCTAGATCTAAAGAAAATTCACCTGTGATTAGGTCAACCTCTGTGTAATCAGGTGAAGAGA